GTTAAAGATATTCTAGGATTTATTTCTCACAACAGAATCATAAGTGTTGTAGACCTACTTTCTAATTTTTAAATTACATGTCCTTGGCCTATGTCCCAGAATAATGAGTGGAGAAAACCTATTTTGATGTTCTGAAGAAAAGGAATTGAAGTTCTCAGAAAGGAATAAAAAATAGTGGGTAAATATTTAGTAACAAATGATTGTGACATTTACTTGAAGGACACAATGGTTCCTTGTTATTCTGACTGGTGATTAAGTGATCCCTGGTTAAAAAAAGAAAAATGGCTTAAATCACTGGATAACAATGTTTAGTTTATAAATAGTACAGGTATACCTTGCCAGCATTTGCTTGGTCAAAACTTCATTCAAAATAGTTTTCCTTTTTTTTTTTTTTTTTAATTTCCACACCTAAAAGAGAGAACAGCAACATATAAATCAGATCCTCATCAGTTCATGTAGAGTTGACAGTATTTATCTCAAAATATTTTCTTAGTAAATTCCAATTATGACTGAAAGTCCATTTTTGTATAGAAAATCATTAAGGATAACACTTTCTTGAAGCAAACTAATAACTTTATGTTCTTCTACATATTAATCTTACATATCAGCTTATCAGCTTCTTCACTTGAAAACTGTCCTACATTAAGATTTAAGTGAAAGATGATGAAACATATCCATGACAACAAACTGTGGCACTGGGATGAAAAATAAATACACTGTGATCACTCCACTTTGGCTATCTGAAGAATCTTTTTTTTTTTGGTCATGGGCTTGAACTCAGGTCCCGGGCACTGTCCCTGAGTTTTTTTTATACTGCTTTACCACTCTGAGCCACAGCACAACTTCTGTTTTGCTGGTAATTAATTGGAAAATCTCATGACTTTCCTGCCTGGGCTAAAATTCTTAGCTCTTAGCTTCCTGAGTAACTAGGATTACAGACATGAGCCACCAGTGTCCAGCTTGTAGAATGTTTTGAAATTTATGTTTTATTCAAATCTGGTACCACTAATTTTTAATAATTCTAATAATTTTAGCCATCTATAATAGTTGTATCAATTCTAATAATTCTATCAATCTCATCCAAAGTATACAACATAGTAACTATGAAGTACATAGAAGTATCAAGAATACAGAGAAATTCCCAGTTTTTGTTTGTTTTGGTCAGTCGTGGGGCTTGAACTCTTGGCCTGGGTGCTGTCCCTCAGCTCTTCAGTTCAAGGCTAGTGCTCTACCACTTTGAGTCATAATGACACTTCTGGTTTCTGGTTGGTGATAAGAGTCTCATGGACTTTCCTGCCTGGGCTGGCTTTGAGGCATGATCCTCAGATCTCAGCCTCCTGACTAGCTAGGATTACAAGTGTGAGCCACTGGCATCCGGCTAAAACTCCTGGTTTTAAAATCCTCAGTTATCTAAATTTCTATAGCAAATTTCTAAGTTTATGACATACTTATATCTCCTTTTAATATGTAAATGTATTATTTCTTCTGTTTTGTTGAACCTTATTGACTTAATCTCTATACAAATGAAACAATTCAGAATAATTCCTCCCTTCTTTTCTTTTTTTTTCTATTTATCAGTAGAACTTGTAAATTCTTAGCAAGTTTAGGCAAATCCAAAAGTTGAAACCAACACCAAATAAAAACTACAACTATATATATTTATATATAAACATATCTACAGCAAAACTATGATTATAAGATGAATGAATCTTGTATCTTTCCTTCCTTTCAGAAGTAGGTTTAACTTGTATGTAGTTGTGGTAATGGAACATTGTAATTTGGTTAAATTAAGAGATGGGTAGCCCTAGCTAAGCATTCTTTCCCAATGAGATCCTGAGCCAATGAAAGGATTCAAGTCAATTCAAGAAACATTTATAGTCTGTCTCTGGCACTGAGATAGCAAATATTGGATTCAGATCCAATTTTAGACTCTTTAGGTCTAAGACTACAACCAACTCCAAGACTGATACTAAAATGTACTTCAATTCTTAGCATTTCTCTTGAGGAAAAACAAGTACAAATTGGAAGAGAGCTTCTCATGATTCAATCTAGAATTATACCTACAGAATTGAAAGGGTAAGGCCATTCAACTAGGCATTTTCTTCAGGACTTTAGGTAACACTTATCAAGCTAATAGGGCAAGAGACAGGGGATGTTAAGGTACAAAGTAGAAGATGAATTATGTCAGAACTGATCTACAGAGTAGCTATAAAGCAACAAGTTTCTTTGCCCTATTTAGAATAAAGGAATACTACACAAAGGATGAGCCTCAAGGATGATGTGAATTACTAAGGGCCTTCTGAAGACTAAATAGTACAAAACATAAGAAATGAACAAGATCCTGATTTAGCATGGCCTTTTCAACTTGTGGTAATGCATTGCCACATACTATAATGCTCTATTTTACTCCATTTTCTCAAATTTAACCACGGATAAAGAACAGGGCAGTAACAAGAAGGGCCAAGGAAGAAGAAGTTTATCTTTAAAGATACATGGTAATTGGAGCTGGGTATCACAGGGTAGCTCAGCCTGTAAACCTAGCTACCCAAGAGGTTGAGATCTGAGGATTAGACCAAAGCCAATAGATTGAGCAGGAAACTCTATTAGACTATCTCCAATTAACTAGCAAAAATTGGGAAGTGGAGCTGTGCTCAGGTGGTAGCACACCAGCCTAGAAGGGAAAAAGCTAAGAGACAGTGACAAAAATAACACAATAACTGAAATGTAAAACTAGCATATAATTGCAACATAGTAGAGGCTTCTTTATTTGCAAGTCTTGAGGCTTGAACTCATGACCTGAGCACTATCTCTGAGCCTCTTTGTGCTCATAGCTAGCACTTTACGATTTGAGTCACAGTCCCACTTTCAGGTTCCCAGTGGTTAATTGGAGTCTCTCCTTCCCAGTCTGGTTTCAAACCATGATCCTCAGATCCTCCAGAATGGCTAGGATTACTGGAGTGAGTCACTGGTGTCCCACTATTCTTTATTTTTGAATAATCATTCATTTATTTTTAACTAAGTACTATGCAAAACTGTGTGTTGGTTTGGTTTTTGTCTGAGACCAGGAGCACAAACTCATTATCTGACACTTTTGCTTACCCGCTGGCATTCTACTATCTGAGCCACACCTCCAGCCCCAACTGAACCACATTTTTGTTTTGTGACTATGGGGCTTGAACTGGGCACTGTCTGTGAGCTCATTCCTTCAAGGCTAGCACTCTACCACTTTGAGCCACAGCTCCATTTTGGTTTTCTGGTGGTTAACTGGAGATAGGCATCGTATGGACTCATCTGCCTAAGCTGGGTTTGAACCCTGATCCTTAGACCTCCTCCTGAGTAGTTAGGATTATAGGTGTGAGCAACCAGCGCTCAGACCAACTTTAAAAATTTTTTTTAAAAATAAAATTTTAGATATTTTCACTTGATTGTATCAAAAACTCATTAAAAATTTTTTTTGATGGCCACCTTTCCTTTCTTCTTTTGGTGCTCACGATTGAACCCAGGATGTTCTACAGATTAATAAGCACTGAACTATGACTTCAACCCTTGGGGACCACTTTTAAAAATTACAACTTTAGCCAGGTGTCAGTGGCTCACACCTGTAATCTTAGATAATCAGGAGGCTGAGATCTGAGGATTGTGGTTCCAAGCCAGCCAGGGAAGGAAAGTCTGGGAGACTCTTATCTCCAATAAATTAGTTAATTGAAGATAAGAGTTTTAGATTTATCTGCTCTGGGATGTCTTCAGACCACAAACCACCTGACGATTATAGGCCTAAGCCACCAGTTCCTAGGTTTCTTTTAATGCACTATTTTATTAAAAGATCTATAGATACATGACAAAATTCTGTTTCTGGTTAGCAGAATTTTTTTTTTGTCAGTTGTAGAGTTTGAGCTCACTGGGCTCTGTCCCTGATATTTTTTTGCTCAAGGCTAGCTCTCTACCACTTTGAGCCACACAGCTCCACTTTCAGTTTTTAGGTGGTTAACAGGAGATAAGGGTCCCATAGCCTTTCTTTCCCAGGCTGGCTTTGAACAGTGGTCCTCAGATCTCAGCCTCCTCTGTAGCTAGGATTACAGGAGGAACCACCAGTGCCCCCCTGTTTTTTTTTCTTTTGTTCCAATAAGTTAAATCTGTAAGTACACCACTATGTCATCTGACCTAATTTGAGAAGTACCACTCTAAATGTATAAAAATACATGAAGTCAGTGGTTTTTATTTACATTTGTAAATTCAGAATCTACAGAAATAACTTTTAGAAATCTCAGTAAAGATGGGGGTTAGAGGTATGGCTCAGGTGGTCGAGTGCCAGCCAGTGAGGGAAAGCATTAGATATCAAGTCCCTGTCTCAGACAAAACAGAAGAAAAAAGAATCTCAGTAAAGAACAACAACTGATCATTTTTTAAAATAAACCTCATTTCATTTTGAGACAAGGTCCTGACAAGTAGACAGGGCTGGCCTCAAAGTTAGGATCCTTAATACTGAAATGACGAGTGCATGCTACCATGCTTAGTTTATTTAATAATTGATTTTGGTTTCCTTTAATAAGTGCCAAATGCTGGCCATGTTTTGTTTCCCAACTGTAATCACACCTACTCTGGAGGTAGAGATCAAGAGGCTTTCTGTGAAGGCCAACCCAGACCAAAATTTAGATAAAATCATATGAACAAAAGCATGGGTGCTACACATCCACAATCTCAACTACCAGGGAGATGTAGATAAGAGGTACACAGTCTGAGGCAGGCAAAAACTCGAGAGCCTATTCCAAATGACTACAGTAAAAAAGGGCTGTGGCTCAAGAGGTAGAGTCCTGAGAGTCCCTGAGTTTAAATGCTAGTAATGCAGAGGTAAACATGTATGTGCATGCACACGTGCACGCACCCCCCCCAGATGCTCTGGACAATAAATTTAGACAAAGACAAATTTTCAATTAAAGTTAGTTTAGCCCCTCCCTCCACCTCTTTATTTTTATTAGAGACCTGAACTCAAACTGATGCTCCACTACCTCAGCCATGCCTCCAACCCCTCTTAAACCAATCTTGCTATGTAACCTAGCCTGGCCACAGTGGTTCTCTGCCTCAGTCTTGAGAGTAGCTGGAACTACAGGTAGAAGCCACTATGCTGAGCTTATGTTACGTAGCAGAAAACTGAGTGTTTACAAAGTTTACAAGTTGCCACACAGTCTCTCTTTCATTGTTCTAGCCACAACAAAAATAAAACCACATACAGTAATATGTGCTTTGCATTCATGTACTAGAGGAAATATGTTATTTGAATCTCATTATATAGCCTATACCTAAATATTTATTGAAAAGGGATATCCCAAAGTTCTACCTTAGAGCAAACAAGAATAAATGCAGCTGCTTACTTGATGTGTACTCGTATTTATTTTTCAAAGGCTTGACCTTTGGCTTTTAATGAAATGGCAGAAAAACAAGGAAGTAAAAAAAAAGTGTCTTGCAAAAGCATTAAAGTTTTAAACAACTTGGACAAAAGCCAGGAAAGTTTAAGATAAAGCTGATAGCCAGCCTTAACTCAGAATAGTATTTCTTCTTCCTGTTTGGAGATTAAGTCATATGCTTTGTTAGAACAGATTTTATCAAATGGTGTGTGTGTGTGTGTGTACATGTGTGTGCACACTCAAGGCCAGTGCTCTACCACTTCTAAGCTTTTTGGTGGTTCACTGGAGATAAGTCTCATGGAATTTCCTGTCTCAGCTGGCTTAGAACCGTGGTCCTATGATCTCAGCCTCTTGAATAGCGAGAATTACATGTATGAGCCACCATTGTGCTGACTTTTTTCCTTTTTTCTTTTGCTGGTCCTGGGCTTGCACTCAGGGCCTGGAAGCTGTCCCTGAGCCTCTTTGTGCTCAAGGGTAGCACTCTACTACCTGAGCCACAACTCCACTTACAGATTTTTCTGAGTAGTTTATTGGGTAAGAGTCTCACAGACTTTCTTGCCTGAGCTGGCTTTGAACCACAATCCTCAGATCTCAGCCTCCTGAGTAGCTAGGATTAGAGGTATGTATGGACCACTGGAGCTGACTTGATTTACTTTTTAAAAGGTTAAACAATTACATTTGTATGTATTCTCAATGAATCTATCGGCTGTTCATTCTAGTGTAGCTATCTCTGCTTGAATTTCAAATATCTATTAAGCTGTAAACTAGGCTGGGCACTGGTAATTTGTTCTGTAATCTTAGCTACTCAGAAGGCTGAGATCTGAGGATCCAGATTGGAAGCCAGTCCAGGCAGGAAAAGTCCCTAAGATTCTTATCTTCAATTAACCACCACAAAACCAGAAGTGAAGCTGTGGCTCAAAGTGGTAGAGTGCTAGCCTTGAGCGGAAGAGCTCAGAGACAGTTCATACCCCACGACCAAAGGGGGAAGGAAAAAAAAAGACTATCAGTAAGACTATATCAATAAATTCCTGCCCCAGCCAGGAAGGCTCCTAAAAACTGTATTATCTTCGATGAATGTCTACAGATTTACAGGAAAAGAAATTGGGGAAAACCCCAAGTGTCCCCTTAGCTCAAAAAGAGTAAAAAAACCACTGTCACTACTTTAGCTAAAAATGACTGACCTTCCAGATGATTGTCATTTTCCCCTTTCAAAGAACCCATTTGCAATTCACTTCTTTAAAACTCTTAATTACCATGCTGATTAATATATTAAAATGTGTGAGGTAGGGGGCTGGGAATATGGCTTAGTTGTAGAGTGCTTGTCTAGCATGCCTAAAGCCTTGGGTTGGATTCCTCAGCACCACATAGAAAAAGCCAAAAATCACACACACACACACACAAAGTGTGAGCTACAACTAGAATTGCCCCCCACACACAAAGTGTGAGCTACAACTAGAATTGCCCCCCCCCCACACACACAAAGTGTAAGCTACAACTAGAATTGCCCAAACAAGAAAAACAACTCAAGCCAGGGCATATAAGATCTTTTAGGGTCTGTAACATTTTGTGTGCCAGTCATGGGTCTTTAACTCAAACTTGGGCACGGTCCCTGAGCTTTTTTGCTCAAGGATAGCGCCCTAGTACTTGTACTACAGCCCACTTCTGGCATTTTGGTGGTTAAAAGGATTATGATAAGAGTCTCAACTGACTTTCCAGCCTGGGCTGGCTTCGAACCATGATATTCAGATGTTAGTCTCTTGGGCAGCTAGGATTACAGGCGAGAGCCACAGATGCCCGATTAATAATCTCTCTTCAAAGATACAACAGAAAGATTTTTAAATCTGTTTAGCTAACAAAGTTAACTTCCAGGTTTTTTTTTTTAATCAATCAGTGATGGACTTAAGTGGTCCGCAGTTGCAAGGACTAGGGCAGTGTGTCTATAAAAAGCCAGCAATGAATCATTAAAATCTACTAAAAATCAACAGTTAATAGTCACTGCCCGCGGCGTGACCCGAGGCCCTTCATAAACGTAGTTTCGTGGTTTATATTTCGCCAGCTCAGCCTGTTTACACACTCGCCGGCGGACGACTTCCTTCGCACCACCGCCGCAGATATCGCGACAGCAATTATGGGGCGCAAATGTTCCGGTTCTCGGGGGCGGGCCGCCGCGGTGGGCCCGGCGTGCCCAGAACTGCCCATTCGCTCGGGTCCCGCCGCCGCGGCCCCGGAGGCGCGGGGAGGGGGGGAGGGTAAGTGGGAGGAGGGGAAGAAAGAGCTGGGGGGACGTGGGTAGGCACCCCTCCTCCTGCCCTCCCCCCCCGCGCCCCTCCGCCGCTCCACTCGGCACCCGCGGCCCGAGCGCGCTCCCGCGCGTCCTCCAGATCACCTTCACGGGGGCGGGACGAACTCCTGCCGGTCCCGCCACAAGCTCCGAAGGCGCCCAATCCCCGCTGGACTAGCAGTCCTCGCGGCCGCGTCAGGACTTAGAAGGCGGGGACACTGGGAAATAAATTCAGACGCGGAGCCCCGGAGTGGTGGGAAGGTGGAGAGGTTAGGCGGGGTCTGCGCCGGCGGAACGCCCATCCCTCCCACCCCCACCCCCCCGCCCGCTGGCTCCCGGGGGACGGACGCCGAGGCTGGGCTCCCCGAGCAGGCCCGCTCGGCAGTCTCGGTAAACAAAGGCTGCAGGACGGCGGGGGCGGGGGTAACGGTCAGGTGACAGTGCCAAGCACATTTCGCAATCGCTTTAACGGGGCTTTTCTAGTCTGCAGCACTAGAGACCCCTACTTTGGACCAGGAGTCGCCCCCAACCACCAGGCTGGATTTGAGGCCGTAGCACTCTCAGCACTTCTGGAGATTAATAAAATAAAATAAAATCGGTGCCATTCGAAGCCCATCTTAAAATGTAGGCTCGTACCCCGGCTCGCGCAGACCTCTCCTCGCGTGTCCCCACCTGGCCCCGAGGCGGCGGCGCGACAGCACCTGCCGCGGGGACCCGCGGCCTCCCCACTGCCCCCTTCCCCGCGGCCTGCGCAGCAGTTCCGGGACCGGACTGCCGGAGGCGGGGACGTTTCTAACCCCCCATCGCCCACCATGCCCGCTACCGACACCCGTCGGGTGGCCTCCGGCAACGCTGGTGGCCCTGCGCCTCAGAAAAAAAAAAAAAAAAAGCCCGTTAGGCCCATCCGAAGTCCTCCCCGAGATCCTGCCGCTGGCTCCGAGAGGCTGGCGGCCGCCGCTGGCTTCCCTCCCGCAGGCACCGGGCAGCCAGGACCTCGGCTAACCCTCCGCCCCCGAGGTCCCAGGCTCAGGCCAGTTTCTCGCCTTTGGGCCGGTCCTGAGGCTGTCATTCCCGGGTACCTCTCGGCGCAGGCTGAGAGCGGTCAGCAGCGGCGAGGGCAGCAGCAGCGGGGCCAGCAGCGCAGCGCACTCTCCGGCGCCAGCGTCTCCCCCGGCCTCCAGTCACCGCAGCAGCTCACAACAAAGGAAACATGTGACCATCCCGGCCAAAACACTGAGCGTCATGGGCCCTTAGCCAATCAGGTGGGCGTCCTCCTCCCGGGGACCATGGGAGATGTAGTTCCCATGACCAGGAGCCCGTAGGGGCCACCTGCGTTTCCCGCTAGACAGGGCGGGGTGTGGAGGGTGACGCGACACAATTACGGAGCTACAGACTGGAAATACTTTACTTTTATGTAGTGCAGGATTAGGGGAATTAGTCTTGTGCAAGGATCCTAGCAAGAAACCAGAATTTAGTGTTTATTACCCTCAAAACCCCTTCCATGTCCCGAGGCAAAAAGCACACGGCCAGGAATTCTCAGGACGGGAACCTTGGAACGAGGCTTGGAAGTCTTTTAATTTTACCCTTGGAAATACAGCTGAGAGATCTTTTAAAAAATTACTATAAAGGTGATATACAGAGGGGTTGCAGTTAACATGTCAGGTAGTGAGTACATTTCTTTTTGCACTATGTCAACCCTTCCCTCGCTGTCTCCCAGATTTTCCTTCCCATCTCTGGTATAGTTCATTTTCAACATAGTGTCTAGTGAGTATCACTGCTGTATTTGTTCACTCGTTGTCCCTCCATTTTTGTGCTCCCCTACCCTCACAGACAGGTAAACAAAAGAAAACAAAAAAAAACAGCAACAAAGAAATAAAACTCGTTTTCCATTTCCTGGAGTTCATTTCAATAAATATTATTTATATATATACCTATATATATATATATATAGGTATATATATACTTGTCGGTCATGGGGCTTGAACTCTGGGCTTGGGCGCTGTCCCTCAGCTCTTCAGCTCAAGGCGAGCACTCTACCACCTGAGCTGCAGTGCCACTTCCGATTAATATTATTTCAACTGGGAGATCTTGAAAGTCTGAGGGGTGGAATGAACTAGAACCCCGGTCACCTGAAAGTGCCAAGGCAATTGATTTCTCTGTTAACCTGTTAATGTCACTGGTACCAAAAATCCCAGATTATGCATTTTTAAAATTGTAACTGTTCATTCAAGTCCAAAAAGTTATCACAAACCTTTATTTTCCAAGAAAGAAGAACATGTTTTTTTTTTTTAAGGATGAATCTACCACTTGCTTTTGCACCAACTTTCTTTTATCAAGTTATAACACCTCTCTTGTACACTTTATGGTCATACCTCTATGAAATAAAAGGATGTGTTCCAATGACCAGAAATGGAAACAAAATAGAAGATGTAGATCTTGACCTTTTAAGTATGCCTTTTAGGCCTGTTTTCAGTCACATTAATCTTACTAAAAGTGAAAATGCCTACTCTTTGTTGAAGTAGAGGGAAGGGCTGTTTTCCCAGGCAGACCTAACAGGTATCCTTAGCTGCCCCCGTATACAGGTAGAGGCCTCTGTGGATATGGGATCTGTCTGGTCATGTGAAGGATGCAGCCAATTGGAGTGAGTGAGCTGGAGGGTTTTCAGGCATATTATCCTTTCAGAGATATAGTATGTTGTGCCATAGCCTGTCTTCTTAGCCTATCTTCTTGCAAATCCCACAACAGGCTTTGCTTTTCAGCTTTTTTTCCTCCATTGCATCCACTACAGCTGTAAAAAATTGAAAGGTGGCCAGGCATCCATAGGTGGAGCATCTTGCTCTTCTCTCCCTGCTCATCATTAGAACCACTTTCTAGACATTCCAAATGCTTTCAGATATCCCTGCCCTACTCTTTAGGCTTTAAAACTTGGAGTCTTCCCTGTTCTCAACTGTAGCAGAAACTTTGGAAACTTTTTTTGGGGGGGAGAGGGGAATATCACTGGGCTTGAATTCAGGGCTTCATACTAACGCTCAGATTTTTCTGCTCTACCAGTCTGGCACTCTATCACTTGAGCCACACCTCTCCTTATGGCTTTTTGCTAGTTAATTGGAGATAAGAGTCACACAGACTTTCCTACCCCACCTGGCTTTGAACCTCAATTTTCATATCTCAGCCTTTTGAGTAGTTAGGATTAGAGGCATGAGCTACCAGTGCCTAGCTAACTTTACGGCCCGTCTTTGATGCTACCTCTTCTGGAGAGCCTTCACTGATGCTCTCTCCTCTCTATTTCCCATCTGTGAAGACGTGCTTTCCAATCCTTTAGAATGTGATGGTCATAAGTGTGTGCGAATTCTGTGCTTCCATCAGAAAGAATGACATCAATATCGCCCCATTCATAAGGAAGTGGAAAGACTTGGAAAAAATCATATTAAGTGAAGTAAGCTAGACCCAAATAAATACAGGCTCCATGGTTTCCCTCATTTATAATAATTAGCATATGCCTAGTATAGTTCTAGCAAAGAAATGCAATAGCTCAATAGCTATAAAATGATGCTAATCAAAATGAACTCCAAGATATGGAAACAAGAGTTGTGTGTGTGTGTGTGTGTGTGTGTGTGTGTGTGTGTGTGACAGAGAGAGAGAGAGAAAGGGAGAGAGACAGAGACAGAGAGCATGAGAGAGAGAGAGAACGGCATTAGATAAGTTGAGGGGATGGGATGAGTGGAATTGGGGAGAATGATGAAAGAAGTAACATTGATCAAGATGCATTGTACTTGCAAACTGGCATGCACAACTATGCATAACTACTTAACACTAATAAAAATTAAAAAAGGAATATGACACAGTGTGTTCACACCCAGTCCCTGAATGTGGCTAGGTCCTTTGATGAAATTCAGGACTTTGAGCTATTTTCCCACAAGATATCCCAGTTTAAAAGCATTGGTGAGCTTTTACTGGAGGTTTGACTAAGAGAGAACGATATGACATATCACACTGCAAAATTCTGTACCAATCAGCTCTCTCATCTCAGCTCCTCTTATATTCTGGGCCTTTCCCTGTAGAAGCCTTTGAATCTTTTCCTTGCTGTGATCTCTATCACATTCTAAGACATTCTTTCTTCTTTGTTATGTCCATTTTCTGTAATTTGCATTTTTTACACTTATCACCTTTACAACAAGAAGAGTTTCACTCTTCAGAAGACAGAGGATATCATAAATAAAAGTTTTACTCTGTCCATCCCACCCAATTCTGTTTTCCTCTAGAGATATTTTTTTAGTGCCTTAGCAGGTTGGTTACATAATACCCACTGAGAGTATTAACTGAAAAAGGAGCAAATACAGCACAGTATTTACTCACGCATGGCACTTGAGCCTCTCCAGTCTTGAGAGCTACCTTTCCCTCCTTCTCTGGTGATTTTAAATGTGAATAGCACTTAAAGCCATTTATAGGCAGAGGTCTGGCTCTCCTTGCCTGTATAGTTATCAGGAAAGGTTTATTTGTTGTAGGACTGGGGATGGAAGTCAGAGCTTGGGGTATACCAAGCAAGCTCTGTCACTGACTTGTACTCTCCAAAAGGAGATTAACTTGCTTCTTGGGCTTATACACACTCTAACTCAGCGAGTCACAGGCCCTACTAGGCCAGGCAATGTTTCAGATCAGACTTTGTAGCATTGAACTTCAACAGGGAAAGATCTAGCTGGAAATAGTTCTATTTTAAGGAGCTGTCTGCCACATGGAAGGTGAGATTGACCCAGTCTATCACTAATCTTTCTTTTTCTTTTCCTAAGTCATTCCATCTGTCACAGTGTGTTCTTCCTAATAACTGAAGCAGACATGGTCATTGCATTCTTTGGAGTGGGTGGGATGGCAGACTTGTTCTTGAAACTGCCCTTTACAGGTTGACATAGATGATGTACTGGGGCACTTAATGACCTCAGGATTTTGTTGTTAACCAACTTGCCACACTAAATGCAAATCATGGTGGGTGGTCATCAGCATGTACCCCGGGTTCTGAGTTTAGGAGTGCTGAGGCACATTTGCATCCTTTCTCACTGTGGCACAAGCTCCAGCTCCAAGGGCAGTTCATTTCACTTTCCTCTCTTCTTCCTTCATCCTGTCCTCACTAGCAGGCCATCAGGTGGCTCCTCTAGTCTCCAGAAAAATCCAGAAGAAGCTGGATTTTGAGGAAAAATTTATTATAATTGATTCCTTCCCTGACTTTTCCAGGCAGGTCAGATTTCCCCAAGTGATAGCTCCCAGCACCTTTCACTTGACTTGCTGAGATACCCTTGAAGATATGAATACCTCTGCTTGTGGCTTCTGGACAGAAACTTAGCCAGTCCTAGAAATACACATTTCCACTCTGGGGCTCTGCTTAGAAGTCTGTTCTGTGGGTGTTGGAGTCCATATAGAGTTCCTACTGCTGGCCCAGCAGCTTTGCCTTCACCTTGAATTTCTTGCCTCCAGGGCTGGCTGCCCCATGACATTTAAGAGGCATGTACTGACTCTAGCGTTATCTGCTGTTCCTGGCAGTGTTCCTCTTCCAAATGCCTGCCTCTTCTGAGAGTGTGTCCTGTCCACCTGTGATCCCCCTTTGGAGCTCACCAAATAGTCTTCCCAGTTATCCTGCCGGGATCTGTCCAAGAACTATGTGTAACAGCCCTGCCTTCCTGTTCTGGAAAGATGCCATCTGACTTCTTAAGAAATGATGTCAGTTAAGGCCCTGAGATAATTGCTCCAATTCTCAATTTAGTTGCTTATCTGATGCAGTGTTCTTTGATGGCCTTTCCTGGTTTTCCATTACAAAAAATGTCACCTTCTGAAGCTCTAATGTAGATAGCAGAGGGGTTTCCACAAACTGAAAGCCAGGGACCACTCTCACTTTATTTCTTCATCATTTTTATCTCCTTACATAAGCTCAACTATTATATATCCTCTGGCTCCTTACAAAGACTTCAGATCTCAATGCTTCCAGTAAGACTTCTAGAGTTGAAGAGTCTAAGTACAAAGTTGGCTTTGCTTTGTAGTAACCAGATATCCCTGAGGTTATATTTTTTTAGACTTGCTG